ATATATAATTTTATTTATTTATTTATTTATTTTTGCAAATTAAAAGGGAAGGTGAAAGTGGGAAAGAGGACAAGGATGGGCAATGAAAAAAAGAGAGCCTGCTGATACTGGTCTGTTAGACTTGCCCTGTTTAGTTTTGTTCTTACATAAATATCGCAGGTAACTTTTATTTTGTGCAAGACTGTGTTCAACCTTTAATGAAAACACTTTTCTAACATGAAAACATTTTGCAAGTTGACTAGTAATGAATTCTATAAAAATAACAACAGCAATAGAAACCACGAAAAAACCCTCCTAACACATGGCTTGGTCTGATTTCAGTGTCTGGGTTCTTGTCCATGTCTCTGTCATTAAGAAACTTTAAATGGGGTAGATGGGTGAAAAACTCACAGACCCTTGGGTCATTCCAACCAATGTGAGAAGTTTTTGTTATTAATTGACCGAGCAAGATTAATAGCAGAGCATAATCTTACGGGACAGGTCTTGACTACCATGAAGTGAAGCTGGTCAGGCTCTTAGTCTCCATCAGCAGGGGATTCTCCCAGTGGTTCTGTGGGTGTCTTGTAGGGGTCTCCAAATTCCCCCACCCCCAATGTCTAGTATTTATGCATGGTTGGTAAGAATAATTTCAACATTTTAATACTTCATCCCTGATTTGGTTTTATTTAAATATCTTTGTTTCACAAAGTGTCAATTAGTTAAGATTTATACCCTTGAGAAAACAAAAGGGAGGCTTCCTTATGTTTCTTCCCTCTTATCCTGGAATGCTGTTTTAACTCTGGCCTGTTTATGGGTTGACAAGGTTGCTTTGTTTTTCCAAAGGCCTTTTTACCTTGTGTTCTGTGTGGTGTCTAAGGAGGCATACAGATGGATTCCCTTTGCTATGTTAACTAAGCCATCTGTTTCATCTGCAAGGCTTCATGCTTCGGTCACTTGGAGGCTTCTGAGGCGCCTGTGTCTTAGCCACTGTCTGTGGCTCAGGCCTCTTGAAAATGGTCATATCTGGCAATTGCACTTGGCATTGCCTTACAGTGTGGAGAGCTCATATACTTTGGTGATTATTCAACTTAAATACTGCTTAGTTTTAAATAAATAACAAGTAGTAATGTACATCACAAAATATCACTTTGGTATTTCAATTTGGAATCAAATATAATGATCCTCTCCCATTCCCACTGTGCACCTAATTCAGGATAATATTGAATGTCTTATTCATATTCATATGCCTGATTGTGAAATAAGTCTTTTTAGCCACCAAATACATTTCAGTGTCAAAATAAAAGACTTAATTGTTTTAGTACGTAGTAAAAAATCATCATTAGTAATATTAGCTAGTCCATTTAACTTGCTCTGATTTCAATACTCTGGATGACATTTTGATTTCTTTGTTTAAAGAATGTTTTGATTGTAGATGTGGATTTGAGCTAAAGAAATATTCTTGTATCACAAGTGGACCTATATTTCCAGAGAGCTTAGTATGTTTTAATTTCTCAGACAAAAGTAAGAGTTGCCAGTTTGACAGACTTGAGAAATGACCACAAGATTTGGAGAGGACAGGTGCAGTGCAAATTTTTATAATGCCCTTTGGCCAGTGTGTGCTTCCTCTGTAACCATCAAAAACTACTCCTGGGGATGAAAGAAACATAGTCTCCCTATTCATCTGTTCTTAAGGTCCCTGGCACATATTATATTTAGGATTTAAGGTATTAACCACACCATAAATAATAACCCAGCCACATATTAAAGCCACAATTTATAGAGTAATAATTAGCAAATGTACCACAAAGATATTCCACATACAATGCGTAACAGCTTTGTGGGTTGTCTGTATTGCATCTTAAATTTAACATGTGATGTGTCAGGGTTGACCTCGGACAGATCCTAGTGCTCAACTGAGCATAGGAATATGGTATGGGGAAGCTTTGGGGTCCAGGACACAGCGCTTCTCTATCTGATCAGCAGGATTGGGCTGGTGGCAGCACCAGGTTCTGGATATGGTGCCCCTTCCTGATCCCTGGAGGTAGATGGTGGGGAGGTGGGAGAGGGTGCTGTGACCTGGACAATTGGGGAACAGCGTCTTAATGTCGGGCTCACTGTGCTCCAGACCTTTAAAAAGCAGGCCTACAACTGGGAGCCTGGTATATGGGGAGCTTTAAAGAGCTCACCTGCAGGGGCATTCTTTAAAACCTTTAGGTGCTTAAACTCAGAGTGGTAAGAGGCTTTGCAGTCTTTGACTCTTGGCACTAGCTTTAAAGAGTGGTCTGAGGCAGCTTCCTTGCCAGGGATTTTAAACCCTATACTTGGCATCTCCGGCAGGGGATTGGAGGCTCCTGGAAGGGTAGTCCCCATTGTGGGGGAGGGGTCCTTCATACCTCCCCTTGCTGGATGGCATGGTTGTTAGGATTGGGGATCAGATCCCATTGTACTGTTAAATGGACATGTGCCATGGACCTCCATCTCTCTACAGGCTGCACAAAAAAAGGTCTGTCAGAGGGGTCAGCTCAGTCCCTGGGACAGCCATGATGCTCAGGGCAGCACTAGCTGCTGTACTGCTGGTAGCTGTGGTAGCTATTCTCTGCCCCTCAGCCATTTCCAAACCCCCACCCCCCAAGGCTGCCCCTACTGCCACTCAGGATGCTACCAGGAGCTGTTATTCTGTACAGTTGTGGCTGCTGAACTAAGACCACCATTTCATTTTGCACTGGCTAGCAAAGAGCCAACCAGCAGATTCATGCTAATGGCTTTTGATGGTCTTTAATTTGGGATCTAGAGTTGAAAGTTTCTCAAATTTTGTTTCCCCAAATTTTCTTGGTCTTTCCTTTTTTCCCATTATTGTTAAAAATCTTTGTAGCTTCATGTTTGCAAGGATATAAGCTAAGGTGTTCAATACAATTCATGTGATTTTTATCATATATATGAACATAAATAGATGAGTTAAATTTTTAATATGCTATTTTAACAAAAAAAATCATTCTCTTACCTTTCAAGCACAGACTTTACTAAGAGAATATTTGCCCCATTAAATGCTCTGTGCACCTAGAATCTATTAAGACAGATATTAAAGCTTTTTATATATCACCTGTTAGAAGTATGTGTAGGAACTATATTTTGCATATCTCTTTTCAATAGGAAACAAGTTATGTGCTTGCATACAAGATTTCTCTGTTAAATTTGTATATATTGACTAGGCACCCTTCTGATCATGTTTGAAAACTACACAGTTACCATTGATATGGAATGATAGCCTGTCAAAAGTTGTTTGAAAGAAATCGGGTGGTCATATTAAAGTAATCCCTGCAAGCCTGTGTTGTGGTATATGGTGATAGGCTCTTTGACAAATTAAAGTGCACAGGCTTCCAATGCAGAATTTCAGCTTCCTTACCTTCAAAAAGAAATTTACATACAAAAGCATTTCTTTTGTGAGGAGAGGAGTTCTATTTCTTTAAAGGCACTAAGAAACTGTAGCTGAAATTTAGATAATTTTAAAAGATTTTTTTTAGATGCTTTAAGAATGGCTTTAGAGGGAGAACTTCTAATTGTTATGGTAATTTTCTGTGAGTTGAATTGTCGTGATAGATGTTGGAGTTAGTTATGAGCTCATTGTACTCCCATGGCTGGACATAGTTATGGAAATAGGTTTGCTAAGACAGCTGAAATACTATGTTTCAGTAGGTGCATTCTCTGTATAGCTCGTCATTATTGCACCTTGCAGGTGTAAACAGCTTCTTTTAATGATTGTGAAAGTATAGTAACCATGATTTGTCATAGACTACAATTAATAAGTTGTTCCCACTTCAAATGCAGTACCATTGTCTACAAACTGCTGTGTCACCAAGCAGTCATTATGCTAAGACTCTCCTCTGTATAACAGTATCTTAAATTAATAAGATATTGTGTGGTTTCCAGCACTTAAGTCTTGAGGTATAGAGACATAAACAAGTTGCCACAAGATAAGTTACGGCCTGCAGTTACAACATCTGAGCTACTCTGTGATAACTGTATATATGTTTGTACCTGGTGATAAAGCTAACCTCATCTGCATTGAAAAAAGTAAGCTGCTTTGCACTTGACACAAGGTAAAAGCATGCACATAGGTAACTACCACAGTAGCTGACATGCTGTAAATTTACAGCTTTAGTTTACCTGGAACTAACTTGCATGTCTATATACTTAGAATCTGATTTGCTCTGTGATACAAAATGTGTTACTAGGGATGGTTTTTAAATGCAATTTAGTTGCAAATGCAAAACAAGGTAAGAATTTTCAGACTGAATTATTGTCCCATCCAATTTCTATACGTTTCGTAAAGGAAGTTTAATTTTGGTGTACCCCTCTGATAGGTAGAGTTAGATCTTGCTTTTATATTATAAAGCTTTCTATAATGAGAAAACAGAACAGTACTGTTTTAGGGTCACATAGTATATGGCCTATTATAGTGTTTAGAGAACCCTAGAAACTTGTTCACTTCTAAAAAATGCACTTTAAAGTTTGAAATTCTGTATAAAATTGGCATTCATCCTTCTGCCTCCACTTGCCTAGGAATTATTCCTACTCTTCCCAGGCAGTTGAATTGCTTTTCCTTCAAGTGTTGTTTTTATTTTGATAGGAATTGTAACTAGACTTTAAGCTTTTGTTATTGTGATTCATAGTATTAATCTGATAACTTCCTAGAGTTGGGAGGAAATTTAGTCCTTCTGAAGTTTGAGTAACTTGGCAGATTCGCTCTTGGTCTCTCTATCATCTTAAAACATCAGATACTGGCTACTATCACAAACTCAGTACTGTGCTCAGAGAGGTAACTTGTTTGTTTCAGGTTGACCATTCACACTTTACTTTCATTTAATAAATTATATTTTACCTTCAGTTAAGAAATGCTTAGAATTTGAAAAAAGTTTGGAGCTATCACCCTTACAATTTGGAAGAAAACCCTAATAGTTCTATGTTTTTATCTTTCTACATTTTTCTTATTTCATCAGCAGTTATATTTGGTGCTTTCTATGTGGAGTGAAATTAATTATTTAGTATGACTTTATTTCATTTTACTAGTACATCCCATATTTCTTTCAAGAGCAAAAACAGCACCAGAATTGTGGATGACAAATAGTTTTTGGTGAATGCTCTTTAGGAAGGAAATTTGCAGATGATGGGGAGAAATTAGCAAGTAAGCTGACTAGAATGTAGATATTGCTTGGTGAAGTATATCAGAAGACTTGACAAGGATGTATGTTTCAGCCTTGAAAGTTTGAAAGACAGTTGTTTTGATGCAAATTCTTCTTTTGCTTTGCAGGTACATGTAAAGTGAATTTTCCTGACCCAAACAAACTCCATTACTTTCAGTTAACTGTAATCCCAGGTAATCTTTTAAAATACTTCTTAAATATGAAACATTAATGGATTTATTTATACTGGCAGTGTTTTTATCAAAAGTATGGGCTGTCTGGTGTCTGATATGCATGAAAAAGAAAGCATTTGGGAAGCCTTTACTATTTGTTTGGAGCTCTAGAATCTTGTTAAATCAGGAATAGCAACAGAGTAGAAAGATGTAGAGATCTCATTTATGAATTTTGTTGGGCTAAATTTGATTTAGTTTCAGTTTAAGTATTTTATTTTAATTGTTCAGGTGCAACTCAAGCTATTTTCAGTAGTGATTTTATTTTTGACATATGTTGTAAGCTGTGTTTTATGAGCACCCATATATTGTTGCAGATCTGTCAAAGTTAATTAAAAAAAATAATTCATGGAGAGTTGAATAGCTGACACATTTAATAATACAGTAGCAGTCATAAATTGACACGTCAGAATGTGCATAATAAAGGATAATATCTTGCTTTTCAAGTATTTAAGTGTGGTGTTTGGGTCTTCTGCAGCAAATGCTATTTTTTTAAAAACAAATTACTATAAAAACCTTTGCTAGAACATTGTGATATAAATCCCAAATGAATTAATCAAATATAATTCTCATGTTGAAAACTGTTTATTTTTTGTTAATGATCTATTTGCTTGCAAAATTTATTTTCCAATAAATTTCATAGCAGTTAATGCAACTTGAGGTTTTGCTGTTTAAATTTTGTAGTTGTATATACACAAAGCTGTGTACATCACATATAGCTTTTGGGTGCATCTGTACAGAAGACTAGCCAGTTAAGGGCTTGATACAGCTTCTGCTGAAGTTTTGCCTGTATCTGAGAATTTATAAAAGTCTAAATGAAAATGTGTTACAGCTAAAATATGTCACATTGTGCTGAAGTTCGTGTCTAACATCATTTATGTTGAAATACTAGCCTCTTCCTTCTGGTTCTAGGTTTGTGTTTTGTTTTTTCTCATTTACACCAGGCTTTTAAAAATGTATCTCTGACGACATTAATCTGTTGCCTGTAAACAACAGGCTGACCAGCACAGGAAACACGTTTTATATATGTTTGTAGTCCTATATGGTTTAAATGATTACCAGTGTAACCTGTGGTATTGATACCAAGCAGACACTAGATGTCACTGTTGTTTATTAGCAAAGACCAAATAACACCTAACTGACAGTAGAGCTATTGCCCCTCTTCAGTGAAATAGTTAATTCATGGGGTTTTTTCTTAGATTGGAACATTTAGAGACTATCCTTTCATTATACCCAAATTATGATAAAGATTAAATGTATTAAACCTGTGGCTGAAATGTCGTATTAGAAACTGATTATGTGTAGAGAGAGTATTAACCAAATACATATGAAGGTCATCATATCTTTTGATCTGTACTAACTTTTGTCCTTGAGCTTAATAAGTGCTTTTTCATAATATTATGTAAGATTTCAGTTTAAATTTCATATTGGTGACCATATGAAAAGTTGATGTCGTATATGTAAAACAACGATAGCTTTCTTTTTTCTCTCTCTCAAATCCAAAGTATCCTAATAGATTATATGTGTAACTAAATTGAGCTGAACAAAGGCTCTGTTGTTGAGAGATGGTCCATGAAATGGTCATGGTATTCTTTGTATTAACTTTATCTCGGTAACAAAACTACCAAAAAAGAGGAGTGATTTTTTTTTTTAAATATTTTTTTTAATTAGCATTTTGTTAACATATCTATAGTTGTACAGCTGAAGTGCTGGCACTTAAAATCTGATCAGAATAAATGTCTATTTTCAGTTGTACATAATTCAGTTTCAGAATCTTGAGATTGATTGATTGCTGCCTGAGATAAACACCTGAACATGTGAACATAATAAAAATTGGGAAAAAACTTAAGTTTTTTAAATTGTAAAACAAGAATAAAAGAACCACCAAACTGATTTGTGTTTTTAGGACCCAAACAATCACTGTTTTTGGGGGTTTTTAAACTGACAACAGCAGAGTTGATTTAGTATTTCCCCCCAGAATTGTCCAAGCTCAAAGTGGCATGAGATGTCAGTCTGAGGCACCTCTCATTCTAACAGCTCAGCAATATTGCATAAAAATATGTATCTTCTGGAGGAAAGAGCCAGTCTTCCTCATCTGTCTTAGATTTAATTGAGGTGGTTATTTGCTTTGACATGCCTTGATATTGCCATTTTTTAGTTGAACTATTAAAAGAGTACCTTCCAAAAGGTTAGTGTTACAATTTTTAAACTGTAGACCACAATTGAATTCAGCTTGGCTTTTTAAAGTCAGTAATTATTATTAGTTTTTTTTTAATCTGAGACTGCTTCTATAGTGCAATTCTTTCCTGTGCTACATGGCTATTCAGGATGTGTAGATATAAATCTTTGAAATATACCCAAGTATCACAGCTGGTATAGAGCATGGAGTTACCCTATGTTCTTGAATATAAGATGAACCCCCCCCCCCCCAATAATTACATTCTATATAACACATTTATAAAATTTACCATATAATTTTCCAGGCATAGAATCTAATTTTTGGAGGTTTGCCTTTAATTTTGCCTTTAACTAAGGTTCTGCACTTACCCAGAATACAATAAGCTTAAATAATCAGTACTCATTGAGTACACATTGCTGTAGTTTTAGCAAGTCCAGAAACTGACTAGCTTGCATTGTATTTAAGGCTTCAGCTAGCAACTCTCAAACTGTTAGAAACCCTGAAAATGAAGGGAATTAGTTCAGTTTGGGGCTGCTGATACCACAGTACTGACATGCATTGTTTATAGCACTGTGATGTTGTTCTGGTCCCAAGGAATTCCTATGCACCTAACCATTAAATGTATTTGCTGCCTATGCAAATACTAGCTTTTATTAAATGGTAGTAATAGGTAAAGAATTGGAGCTGCCATTAAGTCATGCAGTAAATGAATTGTGCACTTATCCAGGATGCATAAAAGTAGAGTACACTGTATTTTCTTAACTGGAGTTTTGGGCTGCTTGAAGACATTAAAAAACAAGCAAACCAACTGTACTTTACCTGAAGAAGCAGTGTGTTACTTCAAACCACCTCTGCAGCATCTGTGTAAATTGGGCGTTTCAGAAGGGCTTTTTGGTGTTTTTAGCTAAAGCTGATTTTGTCAGCTATTAGATAAAAGCACCCAAAAAGCCCTACTAAAGCACCTGATCTTTATAGACATCAGGCAAGCCAGGTCCAACTAATGTGCTGCCTCTTCTAGGTATGCATGGGGCTCAGCTGGGAAATGTACAGAGTTTAAAATAAAGTAAGTGTGTGTGTGTGTGTGTGTGTGTGTGTGTGTGTGTGTGTGCGTGCGTGTGCGTGCGCGCGCGCGCGCGCGCACCACACGTTGGTGGAGAGGAGAGTAACACGCGTGCGTGCGTGCGTGCGCGCGCGCACGCAACAAGCCTTGGTTAAGAGTAGAATAACAATGTGCTAGTAAATAAGGTTAAACTTCGGGTTAGATTTCCCATAGCTTTCAGTGGTTTTAGAACCTACTCTTGAGACGAGAAAGGGAATGCCATTTTCTGCAAATAATAGGTTGTGTTCAGTTCACAGCTCTTTTGCAACAAACGGAATTGGTCCGGCTTCCTCTCCTGTTTCTTCCAAGAGTTGATTGTGCTTGTGTTATTTCTGATTTGATGCCAGCTTTTTAACCCAAAGAAGTATGTGAAGGAGAGACTCTTTTCTTCCTTCCTGCCTCATCACATCCATCTCTAGCTTTGTGCACAAGCAGACTTTTTCTAAATCCATACTCTTGCGTTTTGATTAATTGTGGTGTCATATCCCTGACCTAACAGCAGAATTAGGAGACTTACCATTGTGCCCATATTTCTCTCTCTTCTCCTGAGTAAAAGATAAGATAAACGTAGTGCTTGACAATATAACATCAGTGATCAAATCACATGATAATCTATGTAATAACAAAGTACATTGTATTTGCTGCTGCCTTTTTTTTTTAATTTAATTCCATTGTTTTGTGTTCTTCTTTGTTAGATGAGGGTTATTACCAAGGTGGAAAATTTCAGTTTGAAATTGAAGTTCCAGATGCCTATAATATGGTGGTGAGTATTTAAGCTATTTGTCTAACAATTGCCATTTGTATTTTATTCTCTATAGAAATAATAGAATTTCAGTGAGAATTCAGTATTTTTATTCTATTGTAGGTAAGATTATCCTCATTTATGCTTCTGCTGCTAAATTTTCATGGGTATGTCTCTTGAAAATGACAAGATGTGCCTTTAATTTGCAGTAGGTTGGATTAGTCTACTCATGAGTACAGCCAAGAAACCTCGTATCAAAGAGTCACCCTGAAGCTTACTCTCTTCATTCCTTCTGTCATCTTATTTCCTGAGACATACACATACTGTAATCTTTGTTCCACCCATAAGAACTATTTGCCTAGCAGAGAATGAATAAAACAAATGAAAGGCAGTTGTCAAGGGTTGGCTTTCATTGTTTATACTCCAAGGTTGTCTAACTGGTACACTTCAAGCCAGGATGTTGAATTTTGGTGTTTAATTCCCTGTGGGGAAAAGCACAGTGGGACGGACCATGGAGCTTGCAAACAATGAAAGCTGACTCTTGTCACTCACTTCACCTGCCATATAAGTTGTTTTACAGGTAACTATTTGCTTATCAGAAGAATGTTTAAATGTGTGTCCTTGGAGAATTGAGGTATAGTAGAAATCTTTGATAGTGCTCTGGAAAATTATTTTTGCTGCTCAATATAAAGTGCTTGTCTTCTTGTAGGTAGATATGGCTGTTGGCTGCTCATGTTGTGATTAAAAAATTTGGCCTTTGCTATCTCAGAAATGTGTTTGTAATTCATTGATTAATTATAGACAGAAAATAACGCAATAAGGGCATGTCCAGACAGGATATAAGGTGCTACTGTAATGCAAATGATAATCTCAGATTCTAGCACTCTCAGATGAAACTCATAATTTAACGTTCAAGGAGAGAACAACAGACGAATTATATTTTCTTGTGTGGTTTGTTTGTTTTTTAAATGCCCTTTGTTAGAAAGTAACTTAAGGTCGGCTGATTTGGGTTGCTGTTGCATAGTAGCTGATTTTGTGTCGGGTATTCAAGGTGATGGTAATGATACTCATTTAAGTATTTTTAGCTTTCAGTAAAAGAAAGCATTTGTGTGTATGATTACAGTAAGAATAAAGCCTCACTTTAATCTTGTTGCATAGGTTTCAATAGTTCAGTCATTTGATTATCTTCATAATTTTTTTTTCTGTGCATCTTCTTAAAAACCATATTATCCCATTGTTGCCTGGCTCCTTAGTACATAGTAAGCAGAAGTAATTTTCTTAAGGAACTGATTGATGTGGAAAATCAGAGACAAGATGAAGAGAATGTGGTGGTTTGTATGGGGCTTGATTTGAGATTCCCCTTATTTGAGGCTGCCTCTCCAATCCAATATCCAGTTTATTATAGTGTCGTAGGAAAGTGCGTCTGGAAGGAACCTTATAAAACTGGGGTGGGCAGAATATGGTCTATGGGCTGGATCTAGCCCACTAACTTTGGATCTGGCCTATGGGCAGGCACTCGCCATTGATTACATCAAGTCTGTGGTTGCCTGTGCTGCACTCCCACCTGTGCCTGCCATATGGTCCCAGCTCTGGCCATTGTGCACAGCTTCCAGCAGGGCTGCTCCCAGTGCAGCTGCAGCTGCCTGGGTACTGCTTGGTTCTGCCCCTTCCCTGCAACTTCTCCCCTTACCTTTGCTGTTCTGCTCTGGGCAGCAGGTAGGTGAGGGAAGCTGTGATGCGTTGTGGGGAAAGCTGCAGCCAGGCAGCTTCTGTCTCAGCACCCAGGGTTCAGCTTCCATCAACCTTCCACCCACTTTTACCTGCCCAGTATAATGTCCAGCCAGCTGTGGGTGGAAGGCAGCTCTGCTGCGAAGCTGTGTATGCTGGCCAGGGCCAAGGCGGGAGCATGATGCTAACCTGCTCTTGAAAGTTTCCAAACATGGAGAATCCACAACTTCTCTAGGTAGCCTGTTCCAGTGCCTGACCACTCTTTCATAGATTTCATAGACATTAGGGCTGGAAGGGACCTCGGAAGATCATCGAGTCCAGCCCCCTGCCCAAAGGGCAGGAAGTCAGCTGGGGTCACAGGATCCCAGCAAGATAAGCATCCAGTTTGCTCTTGAAGGTGTTCAATGTAGGCGCTTGAACCACCTCCGGTGGCAGGCTGTTCCAGACCTTGGGGGCTCAGACAGTAAAGAAATTCTTCCTTATGTCCAGCCTGAAACGGTCTTGTAGTAGTTTATGACCATTCGACCTAGTCATCATCCCTTGGGGCGCTCTGGTGAACAAACGTTCCCCCAGATACTGGTGGTCACCCCTGATAAACTTATAGGTGGCCATCAGATCACCCCTGAGCCTGCGCTTTTCCAGGCTAAAGAGCCCCAGGGCTCTCAGCCTGTCATCGTAGAGTCTGCTTCCCTGACCTCTGATCATGCGCGTGGCTCTTCTCTGGACTCTCTCAAGCTTCTCCACATCCTTTTTGAATTGTGGAGCCCAAAACTGGACGCAGTACTCCAGCTGCGGCCTCACTAAGGCCGAGTACAAGGGGAGAATGACGTCCCGGGATTTGCTTGAGATTTGCTTTGACTCTTATAGTCAAAGTTCCTCCTAATCTCCAACCTAAATTTCCCCTGCTGCGTCTTGAGACCTGTTGCTTGTAGTCCTGTCGTCTGTAGCTACAGAGAAAAGTCCATCTGCATCCTATCTGTAGCTGCCCATCAGGTATTTGAAGACTGCTATTAAATCCCCCCTCAATCATCTCTTCTTCTAGGTTAAGTAATCCTAGATCTTTCAGCCTTTCTTCATAAACATTGCCTCCAAGGCCCTTAATCATTTTTGTTGCCCTGTGTATGGTCCATCATAACCTGCAGGTCCTTCTCTGCAGTACTGCAGCCTAATCGGCCATTCCCCAGTCTGTATTTATATACGTGGTTATTCCATCCCACATGCAGGAATTTGTACTTGACCTTTTTGAATCCCATTTGATTGATTGCAGGTCACTATTCCTGTCTGTCCAGGTCGCTCTGGGCAGTGTGTCAGCAATTCAGTCAACTTGCTAAGCATACACGTAGTCTCATCATTCAAATAATTAATGGATCATTAATGAATCCCATCTTCCAAATCATTAATGCTTATTATAATTGTAACCACACTATATGTGGGATATGTACATTTTTTTGAACTTTGATACAGAAACTGGGAAGGCAAAGTAAGCCTTTGGAAGTAGAGGAGTAGTTGTCTTTCCAGTGTGGAGAATATCCTGAAAGGGTTTTTGAGATTCCCCTTACTTTGTATTCTATATATATGGAATGTGGACCATTGTGTCTGAGACCTGGCTCTCACATTTGAAATAGCTATGGGTGTTCCTCCATTTTTTTTCTGATTCATCTTCCATCAATTCTAGTCTCCCATAATTACTGTCTGCCAAAGGGACTACATGACTGTCTTGAAATCCTTTGCCAACATTTCCAAACTGGAAGGAGTTGTTGACTGGCATGAGTCTCTTCTTCTAAGTCTGTGTGTGTCAATTTCTGTAGAGCTTCCAAGCTATAGAGGAATCTGATTTGAGGATCCATCAATAAAGTGGATTGTTACATTTTGAAGACCTTCTCAAAAAAAATTCCCCCTCTTTCTGAAAAATAAAAACGCACGCATGCTCACACATGAATATACATATATAACTATAGAAGAATCTAATTTTGAGGATCCATGCCTAAGTACTGCTCTACTTGCCCTGCAGAGCACCATTGTGGGGGCATGAAGCTAGTCTTATATATGTGTATGTGCATCTGTGTGACTGCTTTTATTTAAAAAAATATTTTTTTGAGAATTTCTTTAAAATGTAGCAGTCAACTTTATTGATTTTGGTGAGAGAGCAACAAGCTGTACAGTTCATCAAAAAATAAAACAGACAAGGACTGTTGTTTTTTTTAAATTAAAAACTTAACTCTAACCATTTTGTGTTACTGGCTAGGAGTTCTCTCCAGATCTTGCTTGCTAATTTGATTTTTATTATAACCCTATTTTAAAATACGTCATTCTTGTGTATGGTATTACTTTTGTATTTTCTTGTCTGAGTAGCCATTCCTGATGACTATATCATTTTTCTTCATTTGAATAGACAATTGTACCATAGTTTCATTTTTTTTTAAACCATTAATAGGGGAGCCCAGGAAATGCAGTTCACGTATTCAGTGTATTTTGTTGCCCTAGTCGTATTTGGTTTTCTTGGTGTGCTTGTTTCTGACAGCTCATAGGTTCACTACAAAATAAATGTAGGTATAACTTCTGTGCTTCTACTCAAAGCTTATTCATTTTATAATAACAAATGTACTCGTATGAAACACATACTACTGCTTCTTAATTGTATAACTGAAAATTAGTTTTCATCTGGCCTTTTGAATGTTTGTTGATTCTAAGTAAAGTCATAGCCATTCTGTGCAACTGAAAACATGCTAAGTATATTGCAGTGATTCTATGTTAAACCTTGACAGAAAATCTACAGTAGATGCTAATTATAGATTTCCAAGCTCTGGATATCTATTGGATTTGACAGGCATGGAGTTTAAAGATTTACCTTCACTTGCTGAGCAGTATAAAAATAGAAAATTGAATATTGAAACACTTCACTGTATAAAAATAATTCTTGAGGGCCATATGGCAGGTCTTGTTCAGTTTTTTTTATCTGCCCATAGCCAGCAGAATTCATACTGAAATTAGTAGTTAAGCATCCCTATTTACAGCATTTTGGTCTTGTGGTATTTTTCCCAGCTGTTCAGCATGTCTGGAACACCGCATTTTATATAAGGCTTTGCTATAATGCCTGCACATATATTGTATTTGAAATAGCACCTGAAGTCTCCAAACAGGATCTGAGACATTATGAGAAGTAATGTATAAACAATGAATAGAAAATGAACCCTTGCTTAAAAATATTACAGTCTGAAGAAACGAGAAGAAAATGAATGTAGATTTAAAACAGCAAAACAAAGCAACCCAGTAATTAGTGTAAGCCATACAGT